GCCTCTGCCTCCCAAGTGCTGGGAATAAAGGCGTGCGCCACCACGCCCGGCCCAGTGCTGCCTTTTATGTGGCAATACAAGACCCTGACACTGCCCACACTCCAGAAGACAAACTATAGGAATAATGTTCTGGTGGTGAAGGGAACTAGGGCACCTGTGATTGGACCCAGGGATTGAAGTGGGCTTCCTGTGGAAGGCCAAGAGGGTGGCCTGGAAAATGCTGGTGTCTGTGGGGAAAGAAGGCTGAGGGGCCAGATGTACAGCAAGGCCAGCTGGGGTGAAAGGGCTCATGGTGGCAGATGTCCAACAAATGACACCCCTGCTGGGCCCTCCATGAAGGCACACATCCCAGACCAGCCAGACCCAGCAACAGGCCAGCCCAGGGGGTGGCCTCACCTGGAAGCTGCTGAGAGCCACGTAGACCTGGCTGCAGCCCTCGTAGGGACAGTGGAACATCTCAAGCAGGCCATCAGCATCCATCACCCGTGGCCGCTTGCTCCGCCGCCTCCTGGGGAGGAAGGGGCCAGTGGCATTGGGGTGCGAATGCCCAGTGTGCTGTGGGCCTGTTGGCTGTTCCTTGCCCTTAACCCCACCCATCCACCATAGCACCCACTTCTCAGGTTCCTTGGGGATCTCGTAGATGATGGCTGACATGTCACTGCTGTCCAACTCCTCCCCGTCCACCTCTGCCTCGGGCTCTGTGCTGTCATGCATGGTGGCTGCCAGCTCTGCCAGCTCTGGGGCCACTGCATCCTCTTTCTCCTCCTTCTCTACTGAGTGACACAGCGTGGTGTCTGTGGGGACAAGGCTGTCAAGGAGCTCCCTTCCAGGGCCACTCCTTCCTCTCCCCCATGCCCTGCTGGTGCCCACTGTAGCACCCCCGAGACCTTTCTTGGTTTCGATGCCAGCTATGGAGGTGGTGTCCATGGTGCTGGGCTGGCTGCCCTCAGGCTCCGTCTGGGTGTAGGCCGCCACACCCTCCATCATAGCACAGGGCACCTCCTCACCCAGGCCGCTGCTGGGGGTACCACTGCCTGCAGCCACATTGAGGTGGATGCCCTCAGCTGTTAGGGCATCATAGCCAGGGCCGGCAATGATGATGACCTGGGAGCCAGGTACCATGCCTGACACTGGGCAGCTGGCTACCACCTCGCCCAGAGCCTCTTGGGGCATATTCTCAAAGAGGGTGCCAGGGCCGGTGCCCACTTGCATGGGCACTGGCACACACACCACCGTCTCCAGGGCCTCGGGTCCACTGCCTGCAGAGTTGGGGCACAGTGGGGTGCCCTGCTCAGCCAGGCTCTCCACATGGTGGACATCAAAGGGAATATGAACGCCTTCCTGAGTGATGAGTCCACTGCTGTCCACAGGGCTGGTGGGGGTGACTGCTGCTGCAGATGACACTTTGACCGGCTGAACATTGGGAGGTTCATCCAAGTCAGAGCTGGAGCCAGAGCTGGACGAGTCAGAGCTACTAGCCACCAGACCGTTGCCTACTGCAGTGAGAGAAGAAAGGAGACAGTTACTAGCTACAGGAATGGCTCAGCAGGTAAAGCGCATGTCTGGCAAGCACAAGGACCTGAGTTCTATCTCCAGCATCCACGTTAAAAGACCTGGTGTGGGCCAGTAAGATGGCTCAGTGATTAAAGGTATTTGCCACACAAAGCCTGACTACCTGAGTTTGATTCCTGAAACTTACATATAGGTGGAGTAGGAGAACTGACTCCACCAAGTTGTCTTCTGACCTCCACACATACTGGGGCTGGAGAGATGACTCAGTAGTTACAAGCAGTGTTTGCTCTTGCAGAGGACCCGGTTTGATTCTTAGCACCCACATGGCAGCTAACAACCATGTGTAATTCCAGCTCCAGGGGACCTGAATCCCCTTTGGCCTCTGCAGGTATGCACACACACACACACACACACACACACACACACACACACAC